ATAGGGTAAGGATTATGGGTGGGTTTAGGATAGTGACATTTAGGGTTTGGGTTAGAGTTACGTTTAGGGTTAGGGTAAGCTTTGGGGTTAGGGTCGGTGTTAGGTTTAGGTTCACTGTTACTTTTGGGGTGAGGGTTACATTTAGGGTTAGTTTCATTTAGGGCTAGGGTGATTTAGGATTAAGGTTAGGTTTAGTTGTGTTACTTTAGGTTAGTGTTTAGGGTTAATTTAGGGTTATTTGAGTTAGGTATAGGTTAGGGGTAGTGTTGTGTTTATTAGAGTTATGTTTAAGGTTAGAGTTAGCGTTAGTGTTACATTTAGGGTTAAGGTTACGTTTCGGGTAAGGGTTAGGATTAGTTTCAGCGTTAGGGTCAGGGTTAGTTTAGGGTTAGGGTACGTTTAGTTCAGGGTAGAGTTAGGGTCACGGCTTGGGTTAGGGTTAGAGTTAGGTTTGGTGTTACCTTTAGGGTTAGGATTTCATTTAGGGTTAGGGTTTAGTTAGGTTAAGGATTAGTGTTAGCCTTATGGTTAGGATTAGAATGAGGGGTAGGGTTAGGATTAGTGTCAAATTTAGGATTAGGGTTTCATTTTTGGTTAAGTATAGGGTCAAGGGTTAGTGTTACATTCAGGGTTAGGTTAACATTTTGGCTTAGGAAATGGTTTTGTGTTACCTTTAGGGTTAGGCATAGAATAGGATTAGGGTTAGAGTTAGTGTTATAATTACGGTTAGGTTTTGTGTTAGGGTTAAGGTTAGGTCTTGGGTTTCGGTTTTATCTTTAAGGTTCTTGTTAGGCTTACGTTAGGATTATCTTTAAGCTAGGGTTAGGTTAGTTTTAGGGTTTTGTTTAGGGTTAGGTTTAGTTTTGTTAGGGGGAGTGGTAAGGTAGGTTAGGAAATGGAGAAAGGGGCTAGGATAAGGTTAGGGTTAAGGTTATCTTTAGGATTTGGATTAGGGTTATATTAATTGCAGGGTTAGGTTAGGGTTAGGGTTACATTTAGGGTCAGGTTTAGTTTTGTTAGTAGTAGGGCTATGTGTAAGGGTAGGGTTAATATGTGCAGGGGCAGGGGGATGTTTGGTGTGGGTTACGGCATGGGTAGAGGTAGGGGCAGGGTTGGCATTAGGGTAAGGTAGGGTTAGGTTCATGGCTAGGGTTAGAATTAGGGTTTAGGGTAAGAGGTTTACGGTTAGGGTTAGGATTGGAGTTTGGGGTTATGGTTAATGTGTAGGGTTAGGTGTTAGGGTTAGGGCTAGTTTTATCTTTAATTTTAGGGTTAGGATTAGGGTTCAGGTTGTTTTAGAGTTAAAATTAGGGTCAGTGGTATGGTTACTTTTAGGGTTAGGGTTGGGTTATGGTTAGGGTTAGAATTGGGCTTAAGTTTAGGTTAGTAATAGGGTTATGCTTGCTAGGGTTAGTATTAGGTTTTCGGTTATCATTCAGGTTAGGGTTAGGATATAGGTTATCTTAGGGCAAAGGTTAGGGTTATGTTTTAGGGTTAGGATTAGGTTTAGTTCTAGTTGTAGGGTTATCGTTATGTGTAGGGGTAGCAATAGGGTTAGGGATAGGCTTAGAATTTAGAATTAGGTTTATTTAACGTTAGGGTTAGAGTTACATTTATGGTTTTAGTTATCTTTATGATTAGTGTTAGTGTTAACCTTTGCTTTGTGTTAGGTTTATTGTTAGGATCAGTGTTAGGGTGAAAGTTAATGTTAGAATTAGGGTTGGGTTCAGGATTTGGTTTAGGGGTTGTAGGTTATGGTTAGGGCTAGAGGTAGGGTTCGGTTTAATTTTATCTTGAGGTTTATGTTTAGTTTTTTATCTTTAGAGTTCGGGTTATCTTTAAGGGTTAGGGTTATTTTAAAGAATATGGTTAGGGTTAAGGGCTGTTGCAGTGGTAGGGTTAGGTGTAGGCATAGCTTTAGAGTTAGAGTTTGAGTAGTGTTTACTGATATGGTGAGGGCTTGGGAAGGGTTAGGCTTATCTTTATGGTTAGGGTTGGAGTTACCATTAAGATTTGGTTAGGGTTAGGTTTAGTTTTAGGGTTATGTTTACCTTTAAGGTTACCTTTATGGTTCTAGTTACAGTTGGGTTAGGTGTAGGTTTATGGTTAATGTTAGAGTTAGTTTTAGGGTTTGATTTAGAGTTAGGGTTACCATAAGGCTTTAGGGTTCACATTTGTTTAGTGTTAGGGTTATTTTTAGGGTTAATTTAGGGTTAGTGTTTGTGTTCGGTTTTAAGGTTAATGTTGGGGTTAGTATTAGGGTTAGGTTTAGTTTTAGCTTTGGGGAAGGGTTAGATTTAGGATTAGGGTTTTGGGTTATGGTTAAAATTGCTGTAACATTAGGGCTTGAGTTAGGGTTAAGGGTTAGCATTTGGGTTAAGGTTACCATTAAGTTTAGGATTAGGTTTTGGGTTATCTTTTTTTTTTTTTTTTTTTTTAGTTTATTTATATAAGCACTGGGTACAGTCAGAAGCGCGGGAGGGTGAGAGAATTCACCAGAGAGAGGAACAGAACAGGCAGACCGCCGAAGTACACTGCTGAGGGGAGCAGCGGGGCGGCAGGAGAGGTCTGCGCATGTGGGACCCTCCAGGCGGCCAGGGATCAAACTGGCACTGCAGAGGCTGTGGGCAGCTTCACAGCCCAGCGCTCTACCCCTGTGCCACCAGGGAGGCCCCTCAGGTTATCTTTATGGTTAAGGCTAGGTTTTACTTGAAGGTATGGTTAGGGTTGGTGGTTTTTTTTTGTTTTTTTTGTTTTTTGTTGTTGTTTTTGCTTTAGGGTCATGGTTAGGTTTAGCATTAGGAGTAGGTGTAGGTTTAAAGTTACCATTAAGGTTAGGTTTACAATTTGGGTTACCGTTTAGGGTTAGGTAAGGATTAGGGTACGAATTAGGATTAGGTTTATGGTTAGGCTTAAGTTTACCTTTTAGTTTTGGTTTACAGTTAGGGCTAGGGTTATGTTTAGGGTTAGTTTTGGGTTAGGGTTATGGATATGTTTATGATAGAGTTAGGTTTAGTTTTATGGATAGGGTTAGGGTTATATTTATGGTAAAAGTGTTAGGGTTAGTTTTAATTTTAGATATACCTTAGGGTTAGGTATAGGGTTAGGTTTACTTTGAGTGTTAGGATTCGGGGTGTAGTAGGGTTAGGATTAGATTTAGGATTAGAGTTTTGTTATATTTCGGTTTAGGGTAGTTTTAGGGCTAGGATTACCATTAGTGTTAGTTTTAATTACTATGGCTTTATAGTATAGTTTGAAGTCTTGGAGAGTGATCTTTCCATTTTCCTTCTTTTTAGTCAGGAGAGCTTGGCAATTGAGGTTTTTTGTGGTTCCACATGAATTTCATCAGTATTTTTTCTATTTCTTTCAAGAATGTCATTGAAATTTTTATTGGAATAGCACTGAATCTGTAAATTGCTTTTGGTAGGAGGGCCATTTTGATATCATTAATTCTTCCAATCCATGAGGAGGGGATGTCTTTCCATTTCTTTGTGTTCTTCTTCTATTATTTTTAACAATGTTTTATAGTTTTCTTTGTATAGGTCCTTCACCTCTTCTGTTAATTTCCAAGTATTTAATTTTTTTTTGTTTCCATTATAAAAAGGATAGTTTTCTAAATTTCTTCTTATTCAGATTGAGTATTTGCATATAGGAAGGCTATTGATTTTTGTGTGTTGATTTTGTATCCTGCTACTTTACTAAACTAGTCTATAATTTTGATTAGTTTCTCTCTGGAGTTTTTGATTCTCTATAGTAACATATTGTCTGTAAACAGTGACAGTTTTACTTCTTTCCCTATTTGGTTTACTTGTGTGTCTTTCTCTTGTCTTATTGCCCTGGCTAGGACTTCCAGGATTATATTGAAAAGCAGTGGAGTTCAAAGGCTTGGCACCCTCTCTCCACACTTCTCCCTACAATCTCTTCCATCTGGCTGCTCCTGACTTGCACGAAGTGTTAATCTGGTAAATGAAGTGTTTCTCTGAGTTCTGAGAACTCCTCTATAAAATTAATAGAACTTTTCACCATTGAGAATGATATTGGCTTGGGTTTTTTGTATTTAGCCTTTATTATGTAAGGTATGTTCCTCTATCCTGTGAATTTTGAGGGCCTTCATCATTAATGGATTTTGAATTTTGTCGAATGCTTTGTCAGCATCTATTTACATGATCAAACGGTTTTTATTTTCATATTTGTCGATGTGTTGCATTACATTAAGTGATTTCAGATTTCAGTTGTGCCCTTGGAATAAATCCCACTTGGTTGTGGTGTATTATCCTTTTGATGCGTTGTTGAATTCTATTGGTTAAGATTTTATTGAGGATTTTTTGCGTCAGTGTTCATTAGAGAGATTGACCTGTAGTTTCTTTTTGTGTGTTGTCCTTGTTCAGTTCAACATTATTTTATGAAGCCAACATTACACTAATACCAAAACTGAACAAGGACAATGTGTAATGTTGGCTTCATAAAATAATGTTGGATTCCATAAAAATGTTGGTTGTATTCCTTCTTTCTCAATATTTTGAAAGAGCTTGTGTAAGACGGACACTAGTTCGTTTCTGAACATTTAGTAGAATTCATTTGTGAATCCATTGGTCCTAGGCTTCTGTTTTGGAGGAGGGTTTGATTACTGTTTCAATTTCAGTGCTCGTCATTGGTCTGTTTAGGTGTTCTATTTCTTCCATATCTAGCTTTGGAGGATTGTATAGTCCTAGGAATTTGTCCATCTCTTCTAAATTTTTTAACTTGCTTGCATGTAACTGTTCATAGTAATCTGATTATTCTTTTGATTTCTGCTGTGTCTGGTGTAATTCTCCCCTTTCATTTATGATCCTATTTTTTTGCGCTTTCTCCCATTTTTTGTGAGCCTGGCTAGAGGTTTGTCTGTTTAATTTTTCGAA